AAAATACGTGACAGCTGAGTGCCAACTTTTACCTAGTTTAAAGCCACATCTGTGTGGGCTGTGGGTAGTATGATGGATGTGGTATCTGGAAGGTGGCCTGGTAAGGCTGAGGCCTTTGGCTAAACTGAGCCAAGAGCTCCAGAATGATGCAGGGTGTGCGGCAAGCAGAGCAGAGATGAGAGAGATGGCTTAAAAGCAGAATAAGTCACGGAGATGGAAGCACCGCATAGAGGATGTAGTCAGTGATATGGTAACAGTGTTGCGTGGTGACGGATGGTGGCTGCACTCGTAGCGAGCCCAGCATAACACAGTTACGTTGCACACCTGAAGCTAACGTGAACATCAGGTGTAAAATGTACTTCAATTAAAAAAAAAGGTATAAAAGTGAGAAAGACAAACACCATATGATTTCACTCATATGTGGAATTTAAGAAAGAAAACAAACAAGCAAATGGGGAAAAAAGAGAGGCTAACCAAGAAACAGACTCTTAACTATAAAACTGGCGGTGGTTGTGGGGTGGGTGGGTGAAACAGGCGATGGGGATGAAGGAATGCACTGAGGATGAGCACTGGGTGTTGTAGGGAGGTGTTGAATCACTCTACTGTGCACTTGAAACTAATTTTACACTGTACGTTAACTGTAATTTAAGTTAAAACTTTTTTAAAAAGTTTCAAGTTCTTACAACAGAAGTCAGAGACTGGATTGCTGAGGGTACCCTGGGACTTTAAACTGGCTTCAAGCAGGGTATCTGAAGGTCAGCCCTCTGTGCACACGGCTGCAGGGATCCATGCTTAAATCCCACTTGAAAATTGTTGCTTCCCTTGCACCACATATGAAGAACCATTTCCGTAAGGTCTTAAGCTCCTCTCCTTTGGCACCAGAGAAATGGACAGAAAGTATGACACATACCTTAGCAGGACCATGGCCCAACCTAACAAATGTTGAAATCAGCCTTTTCACCCCAGAGATTTCTCCTAATAGCCAAGCCAACTCTCTCTCTCAAAATGTTAGTCCCGGGATTAGAACATGAGCTTCCTGAGTAATGAGGTCTCTAGACACCGTGCTGTTTGGATTGCGCCCTCTGCTATTGGTCACTTGGGAGTAGTCGGTGCTGTTTTGGGGAGAGAGACCCAGGAGTCTGGGACAAGCAATCTGCACGTTGTTAAGAAACCTCGAGCCAGAGTTATTGCTTTGTGACCCAAAGAGGAGCTTCTGTCGGAGGAGGTTGTGGGAATCTAGAGGAACTTAGTGTGACTTGTTCTGTCCCTCACTTGTAGGCGCAGGCACTGGAAGATGGGGGGATGCATTATTTCTTTCCTTTCTAGTTCCCTTTCAGTATCACATTCTGGGTGGTATCTCAAGATTAGCCAATGAAGGAGGAGTTCTATATTAAACCACAGCTCTGCTTAGTAAGATGTTAGCAACCCTCAGATAAGAAAATTCATAGACTTTTAGTAGGATAGCAATATTTTTACAGTGATCTAAACTCAAGTCACTGATGGATTTTAAATAATTTCAGGAAGGGCATTGACAAAAATCTGGGAAATGCTTTATAACTATTAGTTTAAAAAAAAAACAACCATATCTATTATTGCAGGCAGTCACATTTCCCGAGTGGAGGGCTATGACTCTCAGAAGAGCAGAGAAGCAGACTGCTGGTGAGTTTCACTTCCGTGTCTGCTGGGATGGTGCAGGTTTACTGTAGTGGAGTTGTCATGGAGGCGGCACGATCTCTCACAGTGAATCTTGAGATTTTTATCACCTTGGAAGTGTGGATATGTGAACTAGTGAGAGAGGAGGGACATAAGACTTGAGGGACCTTTAATTGGATCCCATTCAAAAAGCTGTTCAGAAATCTAAGCTCCGTGAGGGCAAGGACCTTTGCTTGGTTATCTTTGTGTTCCTGATACCAGCACTGCACTCACACTTCGTGATGTACTCAACACATTGAACCCCCGAAGAAATGGTTTTGCTTGGATTTGAAGCAAAATTTTATTATTCACAGTGGACTTAAAGAAAAAAAATCAGAGAGCAATGAGATAAACAAGTTCTCCCTGGAGAAAAAATGTAAGTAGAATATTCATCCAAGATTGGGTCAGGGACAGGCTTTGTTCCACTTTTTTTTTTTTTTTTTTTGATCATTTATTTGAAAGGAAGAAAGGGTAGCAACCTCAAAGCCAAAGATATGCTGAATTTTGAGGTTGCTGTTCATCTGTACCCTCCCTACCTTTTTGTCTCTCTCCTTCTTCGCCTCCATTTCTTACACCCTAGATGAGTAGCCCTACTCCTGCCAGTGTTTCTCATTTCCCCATCCCACTCTGTGCCCCTTTACTGGTCTTTCTGCTGAGTCTACCCACATAATGGTGCTGGAATAGAGTTGTTTCAGGTGTTGGTGATTTAGAACTGACTAATGGTCTGGAGGAGGAAAGAAACAGAAATATTCTAGGCTATAGATGTGAGTAAAATATTTTGCCAGGACAGTGAAATTAAGTTATAAGAATAACCTGGATGAATTTCAATGTAAGTGTGCAAGTATAATGAAAACTGTGGTTTTCTAGTGACGGATTCTGAACTATCCATCATAACCGGGGAACGCAATCTGGAGGTCACTACAGGTTTTTCTTAGATATATTAGCTGGGTGGGCCACTGTGATCTAAGGAAGGAGGAAAATGTGGGGCATCTTCAAGAGCGGGATTAAAAGCAAAACTAAAAATCTTGTTCTACCAGATCCACACCTGTGTTGGAATAGTACTTATTAGCAGTACATGGATCTGGTCAGTGCACTTCAAGAAATATTTTTAAAATGACAAGTCCATGTGAGCAATTGGAAGGGAAATGATGCAATTTATAAAATCAAGGCTGGATAATCCTGGAATGCTGGCCTGAAGGCCCCTACCCCTATCCCGTGTTGTGTTAAACTCTTCAAATACACTAAGCCCTCTAATATGGTGATTCCAAGAGGTATTACTATACTTGATTTACAAATGATTTTAAATATTATGCTTAAAATTTTGAGTGGCTACCGAAGGAATTTATGCAGGAAATCTCCACTAGCAGATCTTAAAATTTTCTATCTTAATTCCAGTAGAGTTAACATAACATACAGCATTATATTAGTTTACGGTGTGCAATATAGAGGATTCAACACTCCCATACATTACTCAGTGCTCATCACCATAAGTGTACACTTCACCCGTGCCACCCCTTCCCCCACCATCTCCCCTCTGGTAACCATCAATTTGTTCTCTATAATAAAGAGTCTAGTTTTTTGGTTTATCTCTTTTTTTCTTTGTTCATTTGTTTCTTAAATTCCACAGGTAAGTGAGATTGTATGGCATTTGTCTTTCTCTGACTTATTTCGCTTAGCATTATACTCTCTAGGTCCATCCATGTTGTTGCAGATGGCAAGATTTAATTCTTTTTCATGGATGAGTAATATTCCATTGTGTATATATACCACATCTTTATCCATTCATCTATTGATGGACACTTGGGCTGCTGGCAAAATAATGCTGCAATAACCATAAGAGTGCATAAATCTTTTTGAGTCAGTGTTTTCATATTCTTTGGGTGAATCCCATAAGCAGATTTTTTTATTTTTTATTTTTTTAAAGATTTTTTTATTTATTTGAGAGAGAGAGAATGAGAGATAGAGAGTACACGAGAGGGAAGAGGGTCAGAGGGAGAAGCAGACTCCCCGCCGAGCAGGGAGCCCGATGCGGGACTCAATCCCGGGACTCCAGGATCACGACCTGAGCCGAAGGCAGTCGCCTAACCGACTGAGCCACCCAGGCGTCCCAGCAGATTTTTTTTAAAGAATGTTATGACAACATTTAGGAGGCAGGCTTGGACTTGGACCAAGGTCAATGCAATGAGGAAGCTTGATTGGGAGACCATTGCAGTCCCTACAGAGAATGATTATTTGTGCTCAGAAGTTGGGTGTTGTTAGAAAGCACAGGGAGGAGGGGTCAGAAAGGACGGAATTTCAGGATGGACTGTTTTCCACATGGAAAAGGATGATTCTCAGCTTTCTGAATGGAGGTAATGGTTAAACATGGTGGGTTCTGTCAGGAGTAGATATGGGTTTAAAGACAAGGTTAAACCTGCCACTGTATAATCTCCAATTCTGAGCTCACATGAGATGAGTTCATTTCTATCCCTTTCTCAACTTGGAATATGCAAAACTGAGGGAAAAAAATAGAACATCTGGTCCTTCTCCAGTTAGATGAATTTTATCTTCACTCTCACACTAGGAAAACCCATTCCCTACTTGAAGGGATATCCTCAGATTTGTTCCATCCTGTTTTCTGCTAGAATTCAAGAAGATAAGCTGAATACCTGCCATGCCTTATCAAACCATTGTCCATGGCCCTAGAGAATACTTGGTGCAGGGTTTTCAGGAGAAACTTTTTGTTGAAATGCTGCCATTTCTAGTCTTTCATGATCACTGGGGAGTTTTAGGTTCTGGGCTTAGGGAAGTGAAGCCTAGGACCTAGATAGGGTTCTGGAGGAGCAGAGATCATTGCAGGATGGTGCTGGGGCATTTGGCAGTGACACTGCATTCTGACCAGTGTTGAAAGGATATCAGCCTCAGCTATATTCTGTCTTCCACCTCAGTTACTGTTCCTCACTGGACCCTTCCCAGCAAATTCAAGAGTGTTTGAGGAGGAACTATAGTGCTGAGCTTCTTTCTTGACCTGGACTCACCTCTCCGATGTCTGGGTAATTACCTCTACTCATCTTTCCTTTACTCTGTCTCTACTTTTTCTCTCAGATCTCTCTCTGCCATCAATCTCAGGGTCCTGGGGTAACACTTCTGTAGAGCCAAAGAAGAGAGTGGGCAAAGGCGATGACAGCAGCAGATACCAATGACCCTTGAGGTCCAGGGCATTGCTCAGCCAGTGGACACACATTTTACTGAAGGCCTTGACTTAACCTACGCTCTTTCACGGTTGGCTCAGCACACCTGTCCTTTGCCCAGACCTAGACCCCCCTCAGTGCCAATGCCAAACTCCACTGCTGTGACCGAGTTCCTCTTGGAAGGGTTCTCCACCTTTGGGCGGCAGCACAGGCTTGTCTTCTTTGCTGTCTTTCTGACTTTGTACTTGCTAACTCTCTCCGGCAATGTTGTCATCGTGACTATTATTCATCTGGACCATCACCTCCACACCCCCATGTACTTCTTCCTGAGCATGCTGTCCCTCTCTGAGACCTGCTACGCTGTGGCCATCATTCCCCATATGCTTTCCGGCCTCCTAAGCCCCCAGCAGCCCATTGCTGTCCAAGGCTGTGCCACTCAGCTCTTCTTCTATCTCACCTTCGGCATCAACAACTGCTTCCTGCTCACGGCCATGGGGTACGACCGCTATGTGGCCGTCTGCAACCCCCTACGGTACTCGGGAAGCATGGGTAAAGAGGCCTGTGTCCGGTGAGCATGCGGATCACTGGGAATTGGTCTGGGCATGGCCATTGTCCAGGTAACATCTGTGTTTGGCCTGCCCTTCTGTGATGCCTTTGTCATTTCTCACTTCTTCTGTGATGTGAGGCCTCTGCTGAAGCTGGCCTGTGCTGATTCCACTGTCAATGAGATCATCAGCTTTGTTGTCAGTGTCTGTGTTCTACTTCTACCCATGGGCCTGGTCTTCATCTCCTACATCCTCATCATCTCCACCATCCTTAAGATCGCTTCAGCCGAGGGCCGGAAGAAGGCCTTTGCCACCTGCGCCTCCCACCTCACGGTGGTCATTGTTCACTATGGCTGCGCCTCCATCATCTACCTCAAACCCAAGTCCCAGAGTTCCCTGGGGCAGGACAGACTAATCTCTGTGACCTACACGGTCATCACCCCCTTGCTGAACCCTGTTGTGTACAGCCTGAGGAACAAGGATGTCAAAGATGCTCTGCACAGAGCTGTGGGGTGGAAGCTCCTTTCCTCTTAACGAGGAGAGATTATTGAAAGCCTTTTATTTGATTTTGTAAATATATATTGGTTTTAATGCTGTTTTGGTAATGCTTCTAAGTTTGAGATCAAGAAGAATAGACTAAAGTAAAGGGACCAAAACTGTGGGCTTCCATATGAGTTTGTCATGGTTTCCTATGCCCTCCTTCAGAGAGGATAAAAAGTGGTTTGCCATCAGTGAATCAATAAATCAATCAATCAGTGGGGCACCTGGGTGGCTCAGTCAGTTAAGCATCTGCCTTCTGCTCAGGTCATGATCCCAGGGTCCTGGGATTGAGCCTAACGTCCAGCTCTATGCTCAGCAGGGAGTCTGCCTGTCCCTCTCCCTCTGCCCCTCTCCCCTCCGCCTGCTCATTCTCTCTCTGACAAATAAATAAATAAATCTTTAAAAAAATGGCTTAGCAAATGCTCAAGACTAGAGGGGAAAGATTTACCTGCCTGGGTCACTCCCCACTGTGTCCTGTCACACATGCGTGCACACAGCTATACAACTCCATTGAGACACAAAACCAGCAGTGTTCTAAAAAGCCCATGAACAAAGTATTTGGAAGCCACCTGAGAAAGATTCACTGTTGTTGGTAGGGATGTAGAGTAGTTTGTGCAAACTTTTTAACAAGTGAGGAGACACATGCATATTCTCTTCTGTGGACATTGAGGACTTTCATGTAATCTGTTTTTGCTAATTGCTAATATCCCAAAACAGCCTGAGGAATCTTCAGGAGGTTGGGTACACACTTTCCAAGTGGTAGAACTGCCCTACCTGGCCATTCCTTGGAATGAACGGTGCAAATGTGAGAAAGCAAAAAGTCATCAGCTACTGAGAGCACAGAGGTGGGTCGTCCACTGTTTGGAGATGGCTAGGTGAGAAAACCCCAGATGTAAAGGGGAACGTGATGAAAAGTTCAACACCTTCCATGTTTCCAACCTGGGAGTGAAAAACACAGAAGCTGGAAGGAGCCAAGCAAAGCATAGTTCTTTTGCAGGGTAGACCTAAACTCTCTGATACATTGTTAAGAATGTGAGCGCTTTAACTACAACTTCTGAAAACACTTATTAATGAGCAGAAGTTTGAAGCTTGACTTAAATAAAAAATTTTCTGGTAAGCTCCTAAGCCTGCAGAGGTTAATCTTCAGAAGTTTCTTCTGAGATACTCCCAACTTAAAAACTGACTTAAAAACAGCATTCCTGTCTGAGCATCACAGAAGGTGAACATGTGCGCTCTGGGTGAGTCCTTTCTCCCTCATCCTTCTGCTCCACTCTGGCCTTCTACACTAAGGAATGAGCATACATAACCTGAGTTCCAGACACAGCTCTTATGGTCCCCGCAATTGAGCTGATGCCATGGGGTGACCCTGCACAGGCAAGGTATCACTTGTGAGAGTGTCCTGAGGTCTGCTGATTCCGGGGGATGGGACACGGCAGTGGAAATTAACAAAGTCTCTGAGTCCAGTTAACATGTCTGACTTTGCAAAGAACATTAGTGTGTGAAGGTGACCTGGAGACCAAAGATACCTTTGCCTCCATGTCCATATTTCTAGAAATGATAGTACCAGTGCTTTGCTGTGAGAATAGTTGAAATTATAAAAAATTTTGGGCTTAGTGATTCTGCTTAATCCAGATAAAAAGCTGTTAAGTAGAGGTCTGACGGCTGGGGCTTCACTCTCTTCTAGTGCAGTTGTACTCAGTGGGTGCTGTGTTACCCTACTCAGATGGCACAGCTTCAGGACCCACACATTCATTCCCCCAAGCTGCTGGGAGGGAGTTGGGCCAACAGCGGTCAGTTGAGTGGCTCTTTGGAAATTGTTCTTGCTGAAGAGCTACTTTCTCCAGAGTCACACATCTTCCCAGGGCACCCTGCCTCCAAAGACGTGTCTACTTCAGGGTGTGAAGACCGGCCCCTGGACTTCAGTCTAAGGTGATTACAAAGGGCCATCCCAGCTCCAGGGCTCTGTCTGTGAAATGGTTTGATGTTTGCTGTGACTACATTGCATTTCAGCTTCTCCCTTTGCGGGGGTCCACCGCCTTCACTCTCACACAGGTGTTGGTGCTGAGGGCACTCACTAAGAACCCTGTCACATTTCAGTCTGTTTCAGAATCTGTTTTCTGAGGATCCTAATCTGTAGTGTTTTCGGATCCCATTTCTAGAACAGCACTTGGCAAGCGGAGAACCCAGATTTTTAGCCTTGACATATTCTAGTGAGGGCTGAAGGCCAGTGGCTCCTATATTTCAATTAAAAAAAAAATTCAACCTATTAATTGAAGTATATTTCCTGTGGCTCCATTTAGTTGGTAGTAGTACAGTATTATCTTCTTGGAAACTGGTGAAAAAAAATAAAAAATTGTAACTTTTCTCAGAATCCACAAGAAGTCATTCCTTTGTCTTCAGAATTTTTTCTGCGAGCAATTTTCAGTTGCATTGCAGCCCTGGATTTCCATTCAATTACTGTGCGGTGAGATTGCTGACCACGCTCATATTTTTATTGATATTTTTAAAATTTCAAATATGGGGAAGGCTAAATGTGAGGATCTGTCATTCCACTTTTCAGGAAGGGAAAGAGTGTGGTTGCTACAAGTGATGTGTACAAGCTAACTTGATAGTGATCCTGGGCACAGTTGTAGGTAAAAGGTTTGGGGGTGGGAATGCTATGAAGGTTGATGAAGCACCAGGTAGGGACTTGAGCTTGGTGAGTTACTGTCCAGAGTTGGGCAGACAACTTAAGGCAGGAAGACAGGACCACTCTTCGAGGTTATCTAGGAGCCCAGGCTGGCAGGTGCCTCTGCCATTCTTAACATAAATCTCCCATCTCTGGGGTCAAGGAGATGATCCTGTTGTGTCACTTCCCATTTCATGAGAAGAGAAAAAGCAGAACTTTTCTTCAAGCACTCAATTCCCCAACATACTGACAAGGTGGATATTTTGTCTGAGTTTGCATGCTCGAGGTAACCAAGGGAATTTGTCTTTCTCTGGCCACCAGTAGGGAGTTAACTGAGTTGATTTTCAAAAAAACCAATCTCTAATGTTGGGAATTCATGATGATTTGTGGCCGCCATTTTGGAACAGCAACTGTGGGAAAGAAAATTTGCTCTGTGAACTGGCCTAGACCAATGTAGTAAGAGATTGGAGGTAGCAGAAGAGGCACTAACAGTGAAGCAGGGATGGATTATCTCCATTTCAATCACTGGTATAACGTACTTACTCCCTCTCTGGCATAGACAAAGTATTTTATGTATATAAAAATAAAAACATATCTTTTTAAATGCAGTATTTTAGAGCTCCACGAAATATTTAAGCCCTGATTCTGTTCCACATTCCTTATGAAAGAAGCGATGTATGGGAAGGAAGAAAACGGGTAGAAATGAATGGTAGACAAAGTCTCAGACAAATCTGAGATTCAGATCCATGGAAGAGCACAGTGAAGACAATGTGTGGAGGATGAAGGTAGAATTCACCCCAGAGCTTCTTGGGGATGCATTCTGAGCCTCTGAGCCTGTGTAGTCACCGCATGGGAAGTAGGCTTTCAAGTCACCAAGGACAGGACATCCGGGCTTGAGGAAGCTTAGAGGCTGCCTAGTCCAAACTGCTCTTTTTACAAAGAAATGGAATCTCAGACACCAGCAAGTGACTTTCTCCAGTCACACAGCTAGTTCACAGGGGCCTAAAGATCCAGGTTCGTGCTCTCTGCAGAACCCTTGCAAGCTTGGGGTGGGGATGAAGGGGAGGTGGAGGTGAATTGTGATATACCAGAACCTAGAAGACCTCTCAGAAGTTGTATCTCAAGCTGATCAAGTCTGGACTTCCTATCCATGTTAAATATCTCTCAACTCTTCACTCTGGGTCATTTGGCCTTAGACCCAACAAAGGAGTAAGTCGCTTGCTCTCTGGTCTGATGTGTATGATGCCATGTCTAGGACTCTGTGAAGCAAGATGTTGTTAGTGAAGGTGGTGGCAAGACCATGGTCTCAAGGTCTCATGGATCTTCTGTCTTCCCTTAAAGGCAGGGGGGAGTGTCCGGAGCAACACCAAGGAGCCTCCTGCGGGGACTTTTCCTGTCCTGTTATTGCAGGAAAAATCTCTTCTCCACTCACCAGGCCTGTTTATGTGAAACCAAGTGCCCAGGCTGTTCACTGGGAATCCGGTCATTTCTTACCTCTCTGAAATGATTTGGAAAACAAAACAAAACAAAAAACAACTAGAGAGTGTTAAGGAGATTCATAGCAGATATCTATATTAAAAAAGAAAAAAAAAAAAGCTCCAATAATTCTCTCTGCTTTGTGATCCAAAAACATCTTTTGGAGAAAATGGGACTTCTCAGTCTCATGGGTATTTACAAATTTCCCCCTGGATTCACTTCCTCCTTATGTTAGTAATTGTTCTAAAACATAGTGAAGCTATAGATAATTCTGATCTCTCATTGACTGTTGTGAACTCATGGTCAGCACTGACAATAGGTTGCCTCTCTTCCCTAATCCTTTCCCCAGGCCCCTGTGTAACTGTCTCCATGGGCAAAGGTGGGGTGGGGGTGGGAAAGCAAAGGCTGCTTTGCCTGAGATCCCTGTTTTCAGAGCTGAGAGTTCCGGCAGTTATTTGAGGGGGATTTCTCCAAGATGCTTAGTTCAGTTGCTGTAAGAAGGTATTCAAGACACAAGTTTGAGAGATGTTAGAGGGAGAAACAATCACAGGGGAATCTTAGACTGAGTCTCACCCCTCAGAGCCGTAGGGCCCAAGATTGCCCCAGATTCAGCAAAAGCTAGAAGCTCATAAATGGTATGTTGAAGTGAGCATAAAAATGGTCAATCTCACCAGAATCCCCCCCAAGTCTTTGTAGTCCTAGTCCAGACTTAGAGTGGTTAAGAGAAGACAACTCTAGTCTAGAACTTCAAGGTTCCTGCCTCTAGAAACAAAAAAGAAAGTAGCAAGCCTCAAATAGTCAGAAGCATCATGTTACCTGGTTTCATACCTCTTTTATTCAAATTGTACTT